CTCACGTAATGTGCAAGGCTACAACACTCGAAATAAAAGGAAATTTCTTATCCGAACCTTCAATCTGCTATAAGACATGTTGCTCATGGACCTGATGTACCTGTACTTACTCCACTGGAGACTCTTGACACAGTTTCATCTGACTCTGAAGCTGATGTCAATAGATTTGATGGTATGGATGGTAGGGAACCACAACTTTTCACACAAGGTAAACTTGTTGAGAGATTTAGGCCTTCCAAAGGATTCTTCAGACATTTTGGGACCCAGACTTTGGGCTAAGAACTTACTTTCTCCAGGGACATCATTTTACTGGTGCAGAAATTGGGAGAAAGAGTTTATACCATACTTTTTGCAAGAAGGTTCACTGGTTTATTGCAACAATATTGCTGAATTAATACCAATGTTAGGAGCTGCAGTCTATGAACCAAATGAGTGGCGATTGTTCATTGATTCCTCCAAAAGATGTCTAAATGGTATTCTCTTTCACAGTGGTAATATATATGCATCTTTTCCTATTGTTCATTTGGTTCACTTGAAGGAAACGTACAAAAATTTCAAACTTTTTGATAAGATCAAAAACAAAGAACATGGTTGGCTACTGTATGGAGACTTAAAAGTTTTTTGTTTGTTGTTGGGTCAACAATCTGGTTATACAAAGTTTCCATGTTTTTTGTGTGAATGGGACAGCAGAGCATGAAATCAGCACTGGATTATGAAGCAACAGCTATGGAGATACCATGATACCAGTATCGAAAAACATTGAATGTGAAAGTTTGATTGACACAAAGAAAGTTCTATTACCTCCACTTCACATAAAACTGGGCTTGATAAAGCAGTTTGTAAAGGCTTTAGACAAAGGTGGGGACTGTTGGGGACCCAAATTGTGAAAATATTGTCAATAATATGCTCGATAAATTCAAAGAGTTGGGTTGTAATATAAGCTTGAAAGTTAATTTCTTACACTAACATATTGACTATTTCCCTCAAAATCTCAGTGCTGTCAGCAAAGAACAAGGGGAAAGGTTTCATCAAGACATCAGGGACATGGACAGGAGGTATCGGGAAAGGTAGAACATCAGCATAATGATTGATTACTGCTGGTCATTCAAACAAGATGTTTCAGACACAATACATAAAAGAAAGAACACAACATGTAGTTTGAGATTAAAAGACTTAGAGTTCACAAAATAAATCAGGATGAATGAGGATGCATGTTCGTTTGACATCAGTGTTCTTCCCTTTTTCTCAGTTTGTTTTTATTTTTGTTGACAAACATAATAATAAAATGTTCATTGTGGTAAATAAAATAATAATTTGATCTAAGTAAGAGTTTTTTTCTTCCCAATTTGTAAAAAATCCTTACATGATAGAAAAAATGAATATTATTTTTGAAAATCTGTGCAGCTGAATTATGGAAAATCTGCTATTAAAACCAAAACAACTTTTATGAAGTTTAAATTTGCAGGCATGTGTAATTTATGGAAAAAAAAAACACAAACAGACAGAGAAGGAGTGAGAGAGAGTGTGTGTGTATATATCTGTATTTACATTCAATGTTTTTTTTGATGAAATTTTAAAAAAATATGTCAAGGTTTTTAATTTTATAGAACATTACTTTTTATTGCTACTTGTGAGTTGAATCATCTACTTTGTAGACATTGGTAAAATTTTTCTTTCTCTGCATATCTTGACATAGCTACTGTTGAAATACAACTTTAATGTTTATAAACATACTTCAGTTGTCATTTCTTGTTTAACACATTTGCTGTCATGTGCCCCACTGACTGGTGAGTCACAACTGACTTTTAGTTATGTACCGTGTGACACACCAGTGAGTCACAGACAATTATGTTTCAAAGCCAAATTTCTCTTGTGGCATATGAGTTTGGGACATTGTGACTGTTTCTTAGTACCTTTAGAATGTTTAATTTTATTTATACTTAATTTATGTTTATGTTAAGAACAAGTGCTATCTATTGAGTTGTAGAAGAGTTAAATGAATCATGTACAGGAGTTGCTCTCCCCTGTGTTTCGTCTATTTTGAGAATTCAATTATTTGAAGTGTTTAATTGGAAAATAAAGAGAAAAGAAAAAGTCTGTCAGAATTATTTTTGTTTTTTGTATTATAAATCCAGCAAAACCTTCTTATTTTTACCAGCTTTCTGATTGTGGAATGGCCTTGGAAGAACAACCAGGAAAAGTGAGTGAAGTTCTGAGGTTATTTCTACAAGGCCTGGGATTTGGTAAGGTTTGATGTAGGCCTTATATCCATGTGTAAAAAGATGTGTGTTTATTTATTTACAATGAGAGTAAATCACTGTTACAGATATATATATATAGCAATTCTGGAGTGGTAAGGCCATTGCCACAGCTAAACAGTGTGACACATGATGTGAGCAAAGCATGCCATTTCTAGGGAGGCTTGAGAGCATGTTCCTTAGAAAATTTTTGAAAATTTAATGCTATAAGATTGAATCATGAGTCATTTTAACTACAAATACTGCATACACACAATGTATTGAATTAAAAGAATCAAGTTTTAATACATAAGTTGTAGCTATACATGCCATGAGAAGGGGGGATACAGACATTTGGTTATGAACATTTAGTTACTGCCACATTGTTACTAGGACAACTTGTGACAGGTGCATTCTTGTTACATCATTTTAGTGACATGGCAGTTTTTGTTACGAATATTGATTTTGTCACAGGTAGTTTTTAAATATGAAATTGATTGGTGATGATAATAAAAAATGATAATAGATCATAAATTGTACAATCATTTGGGGACCGTTCACAAATTACATAATGCTTGGGGATGAGAGGGTGTCTAAGCCTGTATTATGATGTGTTAGAGAGGGTGAGGGTGTCATAAACAGTGTTATATAAAACATAAATTACAGTGAAAATGACTTAGTTCTACAAAAACATTTACTGTGTTTTAACATACTTTGATTTGTAATGGCTGGAGACGGCTTGAATGGGTAATGAAGAAAAACTTTAATATAACAGTAAATGTACAACGTTTCAACAAGGTTTTGTCATCATCAGGTGCAACTCAAAAAA